TAGCCCCAAACCCCACTTATATTGCTGCATAACCAGATAAAGGCTGACTGATCACTCGTCTGTATTCAACTACCACAGCCTACCGCTGTGAACCCCAGAATACTAGCCCTCTTCTTACAAAATTTTACTTTACTTCAAGCGTCACGATTCCGCAACTCCGCCACAGCTCGACCTTATATTCGTGGAATACATTGCGAGCAACGAAAGTCTTACGCTGCCAATTCGCCTATAAAAGATGCTTTCTAGTTTTCTCCTGTTTGGCTCACTTGTTGAACAAGTTGCAGATGATTAGCCCAGCCAGAATATTTTAGACACTTCCAACAGAATTTTTCACTGGTTGGCATGTTTGTGCTTTGGGCCGCATAACCGTTCTAAGCTGCGATTTTTGGTGTATAAATGCAGTGGGTATTCTTTTGCCGAGTAAGGGATATGCCGAATCGATGGTATCAGTTCAGAAAGTCTTCATTGTGCACATCAATATTCTGTGCTAAATATGGTTTCAAGGTATCTGGTGGTCGCTTTTCTTAGTCATCTGAACATAGATTCAGCTATTCTATTCTTGCACTCTGCAAGTAATACGACTCACAGACTGGAGGGACAGTCAGGGCAAGCAGTTGCTACAGCCAGATGATGGAACGGAGAAAGCAGTTCTCAACTGGAAACCAGTCGAAGAACTCGGGCAGTTATTGAGAAAACGTCTCCAATGGTGATAAAAAGATAGTATTTATTCTGGCTGTCCAAAGCATCTAGTATTTCATGAATAAATTGTAACATCAGTGAAGCGCAGGGCAGTAAATGTTGCTGATGCTTCCAATTTTAAAGACAGTCGCGACCTCAAGTAAGTACTCCTCCGGGCACGTACTATTTCCAGGTCCCCAAGCTAGATACTTGCAGGCCACTCTCGCGGCTTCCACAGTGAGCGAGGAGCGAGCTACAGCCGCTCAAAGTTCTAGTTCTAACGCACGCTTAGTTGGACCGCACTACTTGCTAGCTGCCCTCTGACGGAAAGCCGCTCAGTTGTTTTTTGTTGAGACGGCGGGCATTAATCGGGAATGCATGTACTTTTCGATGACCTAGCTCGTGCCCATAAATAATTCTGCTCCCCCTCATCACATTTTATTCGTTGGGAGCACATACAGTCAAGTGCAACCCATTTTATAAGGTAAAACGCGTAAAAATCACGAACGATATAATTTCTGAGGTGCGAAAGCTCAACATGCACTAAAAGCTGCGCACTGCACGTCACCCCGAATTCGGGAACCCAGCGTTGGGTTGGATTTTCCTTTTTCAATGTTTTTTCGTTTGTTGTTCCTTGATTGTTGTTTATATTTCTTCTTGAATTGGATGTTGTCCATACTGGGAAATGCCATAAAGCATTGTGAGCAGGGATTTTGCCCACGGACCGCAGGGCGGTGTAACTGTAAGGGAGCAATTTTGTTTGTGGTGTTCTTGAGGGCTCTTGTTGCTTTTTTCCTTCATTGAGGAATTACTTATCAGCTACTGTTTCATAATTGATCAGCAATTATCCTTGACACTTTTATCGCGGGAGCTGTCTTTAAAGAAACGTCGTAATTACCTAGTGGGCAGAATTATCTCCCAGAGCTACAGCCAAGTCCGCAACCGTACGATAAGTAAGCAGCATTTCGAAACAGCGCTTCCACTGCGCAAAAAAACTGGTAATGTCAGGCAATGTTCAGACTGCGCACGACGGGCTGGAACGTGCTACAATCAAAGCGCACACCAGTTCTACAGTACCATCCAGTTCTACAGTTGCTTCAACACTCGCGCTTTAACACCCTTTAACACTCAGCACGAATAGTGCATCCACTCTTCCCGAAAGTGCCTGGCGCATGCGTACAGGCGCCGGCGGTCACAGGGAAGATACTCCAGGTCACCAAATCCGCTGGGAAGTACTATGCGTGAGTTGTTTGACATCCTGTTAGCGAATATGGGAGAAGGAGTGATTTCCTTCGGGCCAGGCTCAGCCTCAGCAGAGCGCAGAATCGTAATGTCCTCCATTAGTGTCAACGCTAAGAATTAATATCGCAGGTATTTCGGACCGAACGGATGTTACGTTGGTGTTCGGGAGGTCGAACTAGCCGTGGAAAAAAGTTTTCAGCCAAAGTTTCAGTATAACGGTTTATGAACGCCAGCAGCAGAAACTGAGTTCGTCCAAACGTTATGTGTCGGCATGGATTTATTAAAAACGTGAAAAGCGAAAACACAAAAACGCCACAGAAGCAGAAATTATAGAATGAGATGTGAAAACGCGATTGCGCTGAAAAGGGGGGCGTGATTATGGGAGGCAGGGCTTGAGATGGTGTCCAGTGCGGTGAAGGATGGTAGGAATAGCACCCCCCCCCTACATCGATTGCCTAATCATTCCGCGAACTTTGACAGAGCGGCAAAAAAGTGGTTCACGGGGGACAATGTGACCAATGTGCCACCGGTGGCTCACAGAGGGCGCATGCCAGAAAACGCCATTGTATCACGCGGCGCTTTTTCGCTGAACGCGCTTGTCGTCAATATGTCAAAATACTGCAAAAATTCCCTTCGCGCTACAAGATCTGTTGAGGACAATACGTTTGGCTGCACACTGGGTCAACACGACGTCAAAAACACTATCCGATATCACTGTTACAGCATCCAAAGTCAATAACGATTTGAGACTGGATTTCAGAGTCAAAAAGGAACGCTCAAGATGAACTAGATTGAAAACAAAGAAAAAAAAGTAAAGTAAATAGTAAAGGAAAGCAACATGGGTGCTGCAGAGTTTGAGCGCGTTGTAGTTGTAGCGCGTTACAGCGCTGTACAGCGCGAGGACGCGTGGTAACGCGCGACGACGCGTTGTGAGCAGTGGAGATTCACTTATATTAGGTTGTACGAAAAGTCATGGACACTTTGACCAATTTCTCGGACTAAATTTTCAGCCACTAAAAGACATCTCCAATCTACAAGGTAATCACCACTAAGGACTAGGACTAGTGCCCTTCTTTTGCACAGCTTCTCATTTCCATTCTTATAGAACTACGGCAACTATGATAAGAAGAAGAGGTGGACCTCATTTTTGAGTAGACGTCGATTTTCGGAATTTTTGCCTTCTTAAGAATGCGGTAGGGATCAAAAAAGGTAGTAGTTAGAGACTGCTAACTTTGATGAATAAGCTGGGTATGGTCGCATTCTCAGATCAAGATCCACGATCTTTTGGTGTGGCCTGATCCTAACATGCGGTCTTCGCATTGCCGAGCGGTAGAGAAAAATTGAGTATTTTGAAGAATTCAAGCGTGACGTCATCCATGTTGTGAGGTTGGTTAAAGTGGACTATAGTCCTTACCGTTATGCTAGTATCCAGAAATACCGCTTCGAAGTCTCACCAATAACCTACTGAAATCTTTGTCTGCACATCTGCTTTTGCGCTGTGCATCTACTTTTCTGTTTGAGAGATCCTGCGAGGAACATGTGCAAGATGTACGCAAGGACCCCACCACTCTCTACCAACCACAAGATCTCACAAATGTTCCTCCAGTGTGTACAAGGAAAAAAACTCAGTCACGGTCATTCGGTATGAATTGTCAGAGGGGTTCAACTCATGAGGCATCCTTCATAAAATTTTTTCCGATAACCGAGACTGCGGAGAAGCATGGCAGTTGTCAGTTAGGTGGAGCCTAGAGAGGTTGCCAACTTACTGGTGGTTACGTTCGGCTGCGCCTCAAGAGCTTGAGTAAAGGGCCGTCATTCTGTGCTGGTGGCCGACCTATACATTGCCTACTTCCGAGTTGAATAAGTCCAGCCTGGAAGCGCTGATGCAAAAGGAACTCTCTGCTATGGCAAGCGATATCCTTCCTCAAGACAACGTAAGTGTTAGCTTCCTCGACTATGGCGGAGTTGCCCTACAGGAACTCATAATATGGGATAGGTCGAGAAGTACCTCGATCTCTGAGGTGTTTTTAAGCTTTGAAAACTTCCACGGAGTCATAATATACCGATTTTCAGAAACCCCAGGAGAGAGTCTACACTAATCAGAGATAAAAACATTCAAAATGATTTTTGGTCTTTTTCTAGAATAGTTCAAACAAAGTGTCGCAGGACTTTTCGAACACTTAAATAGTTAGCATGCTCTTCGTCTGGACACGTAGTGTCAGCTGAAGCGAACAATCCTGTATAAGTATCACGTCAGCAAATATCACATTAGCGGCGGTAACGCGCAAGGTTGCTCGAATGACAGCGCTCGAGTTGATGTCTTATTTACGCTCTTCTTCGTTTACATGATCTCTCGCTGTTTTCTCTGGCCTCACTCCCGACATCCACACTGATTGTTCGCCTTTCGCGTGGCACAAGTGACCTTATTTGAAGCCTTCTCGACGGTTTTCTTTCCTTTTTTCTTGTTGAGAGAGTCAGTCAGCACATACAATTCTGTTTCTCAACCCAGCTACCCACGAAGTTTCCGCTGGCTCATCGCGAAGTCTGGCTTCAACGTACTCGATTTTCTGTTCTGTAACGTTTCATTGCCACATGAGTTCTCTTTTAAGTTTAGCAGAATTTTAACTGAATCGAGGGCTACATACAACTGTAATTTTTGATGTGAACCTCATTACTACATTAACTCATTAGCTCAAATATTATGGAAAATGGAATTGCCTAACCATAAATATTGAACTAGGTGGTGAGGAACTCATTTAAGAAACCGTGCGTTATTTACAACACAACAAACTAAAGTTCATCTTCAAGACCTGGAGGTAAAGGATGAGATGAACGTTGTGTGCTTCATTCGCGGTGGAGAAAAAGGAATGACGAAAAAGGACAAGGTGTACGGCTCACCGGAAATGCGTGTCGCAAGCATTCTGATTATTCCAGCGATAATTACAAACAAAATGACTGCTATCTTCAAATGTTGAACCACTCAGCTAATCGATTTTTTTTTCAGCTTGCTGATTCAGGAAACAGATCATGCTCGCAGACTAGGCTCAGAGTTCGTATCATGAGGAATAAAAGAGGCGGTGTTAGCGATTTTCCTCTTGTCCAATGAAAAATTCACCGCTTTTCGTCGTTTCTTCTGGCTCTTCGCTGATTGGAATAACAACTTGGCCAGTTTCTTCTTTTTTTTCTTCCTGTTCTGGTGGTTGAGAGGTCCTTCGCTCCTCATACTGCTCGATAGTACTCTTCTTTCTAACTGTCTAAAATGCGAGTAGCTTATTAGTAGAACCAGGTGACCAAAGTGACTTTTTATCAAAGTCGAAAATCTACCCATCGAATTGGCTATTTATTTACGTACCCTTTGCGCCATGTCCTCCTCGGTCTCTTCAAGTACATCATCAAGAATGTGATGCTGGAAGTCATGAGGAGACTTCAGATTCGTCGTTGACGACGATTTCTTAACGTCTTTCTGCTTGTCCGAGGGTGCGATAAGATCATCCTCTGCAAATAAAATTTGTGAATCCAAAATGCGGCTAGCAGTCGCTGAAACGCTGAGTCGCAAACTAAAACTGCAAGCTTCCGCGAAACAAGAAAATAACACATAGCCTTGTTAAAGTAATAAAAGTTAAGGCTGCGTTCATAAATTGTGACAGCGTCCACCAGCGTCTACTAGCGTTTCGAGCGTCCCAGAGCGTCAGCGACTGGAAAACTATAGATATCGATCTAGCGTTCACCAGCGTCTTCCAGCGTTCGCCAGCGTCTCGAGGGCCTGGGAAGTATAGGTATCGATCTAGCGTCTACCAGCGTGTGCCAGCGTGCACCAGCGTCTACCAGCGTCCGGGAGAGGAGAGTATGGCGCGATAGGAGGGTAGCAGACAGCTGGTACCCTCCTATCGCGCCATACTCTCTACCAACAGTCTGCTACCCTCCTATCTCCACATGCTCTCCTCTCGTTTGGTAGACGTGCACCCTGGCACACGCTGGTAGACGCTGGCTCAATACCCATACTTCCCCAGCCCTCAAGACGTTGGTGAGAGCTGGTAGACGCTGGCAGACGCTGGATCGATATCTATACTTTTCCGGTCGCTGACGCTGCCGGACGCTCGAAACGCTAGTGGACGCTGGTGGACGCTGCCGCAAAGTATGAACGCAGCCCATGTACTCAGCGGAAGTGCTGCATTGTACAAGTCACAAAGGTAGAATAACCACGACACTAGTGTGACAGACATTCTCAGGATACACGAATTTACTGAAGTAATGTGGGGAACGGTCGTGAAGAACGTATCGTCTTTCACAAGAGTGCACAGAGGGACACCAAATACTTGCACGAGAGGCTTTTACGAAACTGAGAATGTATGAAATAGAAAAAAACATACGGCTATTGATGAACGCTCCATTGGTGAACGATTTCTCTCCCACAGGTGTACTGTCGCCGCTTCTTTGCGTTCCACCTCGCGACAAGTCCAGAACCGGCAGGTGACCATGGGACACTGTCTTTCGCGGTTTTTCGTCGTCGTATAGTTGACCGCGAGACAACGACCTGACGTGGTTCGTGATCAAACTGGTCAAGTACTCCTCCAAAATTAACTTTGACTCCGTTCGATCATAACCCCTGCCTAGTAGGTGGGCGGAAAAGTTCTTCGGCAAAGGAGCAGCCTTGGCGAATAGCAATAAATGTTTTGCAAAATGTTTCTAATCGGCATATATCCGCCAAAGAAGCGCATATGCTTCCGCCATATTTTAAAGGAATCATTGTCGTCTGTTGCCCTGAATTCAAGAGATAGTAGAAGGGTGCGCGACCATTGTCGGACACTGCGAAAAGGGACTGAACGAATGTATTGAGGCCGAAGGAGGCATTTTTAAGCACAGTTGGAAACTCTGTTTCTGTTGTATACTGTCGTTGCGACTGATTTGAGAAAGATTCGGTCGTTTAGGTTTGCTGATATATTTATTCAAATGATATTTTTATACTGTCAAAAAGTATTTCGAAAAATTGCCAGAACTTTTTGGTCACCCTGTAGGACTTGAAAAAGTTGAGCCTTTTTGAGATCATATTTTTTGATTTGTCATCCTCGCAAGTGATGCTTCTGGAACCGGAGGCAACTTGGTAGTAAGAAAGCGCCAAAACGTATTAGGAATTGTCACGAGGGCGGGACCAATAACTTCTTAGTTTCTAGCGAGTTCCGAGCGGTGACCCACAGCGATACTCGGAACCGGCTGGGGTGCGGTAGGCGCAGCACTGGTTTCCGTTGACATTGTTCTCATGGTGCTCATTTTCTGGGTCTGTTCGAAAGGAACATGAGTCACGGCAGTCTTATTTACTCACTACTACTTTACTGTGCTCATGGCGGAGCGGTCCTATCCTATCCCTGCAAAATGAAAGACGATGTTTGCGCTGACTAGGCTTTGAATTCCGGTAGGTTAGTGCTTCTACGCCGTAGGTAAGCGGGACTAGTACGTCGTAAGGCGAGAAAAAAAACACAAACAGCGCCTGATTTCCTTTCATATTATCAGACGACCAGTTTCATCACCCTGTCGCTAAGTCGATAAAAGGAGAGAGAGAGAGCTAAGAAGCAAGCTTTCAAAGACATGAAAGCGCACGTTTGTAAGAAATAGTTTCACGAAGCTACGAGAGGATTGTAAGGCATCCTCACGTAGGTTCGTGAGATTATTTCTTAGCCTTGCCTTTGGTATGACCCGCATTGTCGTGACTTTTAGATTTTGTTTTATTTTCAATCATTTAACAGTCACAATGCTTTCTGGACACCATGCTATTCATTGCCATTTTGCTGAGGTATGACCGGCTGTCATTCCGAAGAATAGCAGAGGAATGTCACTGTCGTGATAACAAAACCATCGCAAGAGCGCGCCGTTCGTAACCATACGGTGTTTGCCATTGTCGCGCGCGACGCCGCGTGGTCCTACCGTCACATACACGAATCGCAACGTCGAACTGCAACGGCACTGTATTTTTACTGTATGTGTTTATAGCCTGGCATGGTTCTACAAGTCTACAACACTTGCAATCGTATTTGCTTTGTTTACACATCGTTATTGTGTTCTGACTATTGTCGAAGAAGCTTTCCTACCTACCTTTACATTCATTAGCGCGAAATTTTCTATCGCTTGAATCTATCGCAGCTTATTTGTGAAATCCGCTGTGCGACTTGAGGGATTCTTCAGTCACAGTCATGATCTAGGCAAACGATAGGGCCTGTGAAGGGGCCTGAACAGAGCAGCTCTTCTCGCCAATCGTTGCTAAGTCCATATGGTCCAGGTGACATCAATTCGTACAAACGCCGCCTCGTCTCCTGCGCTCCAATCACATACCCCTATCGTTTGCAGGGTTCATGACTGTACATGCAACGAAAATAGAGAGCAGAATGCGTAATTACGCCTCTACTCTATCCATTCAATACCCTAGTGGCCTCTTAAACAGTTTTCCAGGTTACTTTTCTCCTTGCACCAATTCTTACCTCTCCACTTTAGTTTTGAAGCTACGAACAACCTCCAATCTGAGGCGGGTCATTTGGCGATGTCAATGGCTGAAAAGATGTCACCATGAACATGGACGGCCATAGATGCCTTTAGATGCGCCAAAAGTTCAAAGGACTTCACTGGCTGACGGGAACCACGCTAAACCCTTCGCCGCAGTGCCTCAGTATTCGTGATCAACGGATCGCGATCATCGAAATGTGGTACCATTCTGATCTCATGAACGTGTTCAGGGAGCCTAAAAATGTCATTGGAAAGCACAGGACTCAGAGAAGAGTTACTCGAAGTCAAGCTGTAGCTCACCTCACTTCACTGACAGAACCTTTGAGTGGGTTATTCGGAATCCTAGCCGACTGCTCAGAGTATAGCGGTTCAACTTCATCATCCCCAGAATGGATCCTTTTTAAGGTCCGGTGGACGATCATAGCCTTGGTCCACCATCATTAGCACCATCTGAACATATGTACTGTGGGGATAGTGAACAAAAACATAGAGCTTCGTTGAGATATCAGTTTAAAGAGAAGTCTACAAATGGCAGTAATGCTGCGAAAATGAAGGGAGTTGATGTGATCTATGCTTACTTTTTCACACAGATTACGCAAACGACTTTCTGACGTTCTGATTTAATGTTTTTGAAAGTTATCGTGTTACGGATTACCGTTTCAGAGTTGTGGAACAACTGGGGCTTCCAGCTTCTATTATACAGGAGACGCGGCTCGCCCTGGTGTGGGGCGGGATATCTTTGCACACCCTTCCGGTTGGAGACAAGTGGCACAATAAATCGACAAGGCCTACAGGGCAGATACGCATGGCACAAAAGAATTTTGTAACCCGTATTAAGCGCTAGGTGGCGTCTTTTTCAAGCGATAACACTGTTAGCGCTCAACCAATGTGCGACATGCTGGCCCTGAAGCCCATCGCAAGCGCCCACCCACAAGTGGCCATAAAGTCACCCGATGTTGGTTCAGTATTACCATTTCATTTATGAAGCACATTGGTATTGAAAGTTGCTAGGACACGTGTTTGTGTGACACGATTGCCTACGAGAGACTTTGTCCAAAGAATGCATCGTACAAGCTTTACGAACAAAAGGTTTCCGACGAATGTGAGCCATCGGTCGTTAATTTCCTTTTTGTCATTCCCCCTACTGGCATCCTGCCTACTAACATTTTTGAGTTGTTAGAGCTGGATGACGGAAATAGGAGCTACGACACCCTTCCATACGTTCAGCGACTTATCCTAGATCGATTGTCATATCATTCCCACTGAATAGTCACTTTGGTTTGGCCCCCGAGAGGTTTCGATGCTGGGTAGCCTTGTGGCTCTGCGCCGTAGCGAAACTGTGTATTGTTACCACAGGAGTTTGAAAACGTCCTTCTGGTGTGAGTATAGAGGGAAGTCTCAATATGTTGACACGCACTTTTTCGAGCATTGAAGTTCAAAACCACGAGTGGGATGGTATTTGCTATCTATTTGTTGACAGCTTCGACTATGCTCAAGAAGGTCGCCACTCTTGTTGCACAATCTCCTTTGTTTGTACAGAGTTTTCCCAGTTTCGAATTTCGGCACTATTTACCCTTTACTGCCCCAGTCATCTGAAATCAGGCCAGTTCCTGACCGACTTTTTTCTCCGTGGACAGAATTCGATGAAAACTTGGCTCCAGGGGTAGTTCGACTCGCTGAACACGAATATCGCATCCGCTGCTGAGCCCGAACCCTCTGGCGCCCGCGCACGCGCTGGCCGCCAAAATAGTCTCGAACTCACCAAATTCGCTGAAAACCTGCTCCTAGGGGTAGTTTGACCCCCTGATCACGAATATCACATCCGCTCGGCGCAAAACCTCCTGCCGCCCGCGCTACAGGTGCTGGCGCCAAAACACCTCAGATCACCGGCGCCTGTGGCGCAGGCGCCAGGAGGTTTCAGGCAATGTGAATGTCATATTCGTATTCAGGAGGTCAAAATACCCCAGGAGACAACATTTGAGCCAAATCTGTCCACGGAGAAAAAAGTCGGTCAGAAACTGGCTCAATTCGCGGATTGTTGGGGCAGTAAAGGGTAAATAGTGCCGAAATTTTCTTGCGATAACCTAACGCTGTATCAGTAGTACTGTATAAGAATGGAGTATTCAGTTCATCAGAGTCATGAAACTTTCTGAAATATGGAAATATCTGAAAAGTACCCACAGTGATGTTACGATCGATGAGCGCATTGCATTCAAAATCGTCGTCATCTTCTCCAAACGGATTGGATTGCTTCGGCAACTGTCAGTATTGGCGTTATCAATCATTTAGAATCATAAGTGGTGGTGTAGGATGGTCTGTCGGTATTACCAGCAGCCCCGTAAATCCAATCCAGTATAATAAGGAAGCAAACGAGTGGGAGAAAATACTACTGCGTTTAAAAATGTAAAGAAATGTTTGGTGGAATGATAGGATTGGCAGCGATTAGAACACCACACTCCGTATGAAAGGTGAAGGGCACCCAGTCGTAATCTTACGGTGAGACACACGACACACACTCCTGTTAGCGGTCGGTACGTTATCATGGAAGATAGTAAATGGATGAAGCTTTCATCGTTGACCAGTAATTTTTTAGAATGCAACATATATTCTATTCCCATTCAAATCGTAGTCCTTTTGAATGAGTATAGGCTTACACAATGACTCGCGAGGCCAAATTGATGTATGCACAGGAGAGTAAAAGAGCCAAGGCTGTGGGCTCTTTTACTCCCCTGTGCATACATCAATTTCTACTCTGCTCTATATTACTTGTACTTATTGTTAGTGCATTTCGCCGTCAACACCGCCACACAAAAAAATTCGAGAAACGGAAGACGGGTCAAGAATAAATTTATATTATCAAATTAGTGCCTGCCTGAGCACATTCCCCTTTCTCGTACTCTGGATGTCAAGGCAAAATAGCTCATGGAGGGGCCACTGAAATCCATTCCCTACGACATCACCATGGTAGCGGATAGCAGTGAGAATGGGCTTTGCTGAAATGTAAAGAGATCAAATACCTGAGCCTCTGAAGAGGGCAGACGACCCATTTTGTGGACCGCCACAGCGGAAGCATCAAATGGGTCGAGCCCTTCTTGTTCCTGGGCACCTGGATGAGCAGGGAGTTCACGGGCATTCTCTGCTCGAGAACGCTCAAGGGCAAGGTGTCCGGGCAGAAGTTAGGCCTGCCATGCTCTACGGCAGCAAGTGCTTAGCTATGCAAGAACCATGAAAGGCAGCTCCACTCAGCTGAATTGAGAATGCTGAGATGGCCTGCGGTTGGACACAATTTGAAAGGAGCATAAGCGTTAACAAAGGTCTGACTGACCAAACAGAGGAGACACACTCCGAAATGGGCGGAGCGTACTTGAGTACACGGCGCTTTCCCCAAAGGTCGGTAACTCGGTCCCCGAAAATGTTTAGGGAGCGCAGAAAAGTCTGCGTTGAAGAAGAATATCTTGCGAGTCACATGTGGGTGGCGTGCTGAGGCCCGCCTACAGTGGGCGGGGCGTGCATTTGAGCACGAAGGAATAGTATAAAAGTCGTAGTTCGCTCCTAAATCACTGTAGATGGTGCCAAAAAGTGGATTATGCTCTCCAAGTGATCAAGTGTAAGAATGTGCGAGACACTCTTGTTGTGGGCGGAGCCTGCGCCGAGGTGGGCGGAGCCAAATTCGGAAAAAATTCGCAAAATGGTTTCAGAGCACTCCAGACACCGGGAAAAAGTAGTTTAAGATCAGCGAGGGGTTATTAGTTGCGGAACGTGAGGTTTACGTCGTGGGCGGAGCGTGCGTCAAGCTGAGCGGGCCAATTTTAAAAATTCCTCAAGCGGTTTTAGAGCATTCCAGGCACTCTAGACTCTATGTGATACGGCCCAGCTCTTGCGGGGCGGGTGCGCGGAGTCCATCGCGCCTCCTGCATTCGCTTGATCAACAGCCTTGGGACTAATATCCGGCTTTTCTCTCATCTGTCCACTTGATCAACGCTCCTTACCACCACTCCATACACCGTAATAGTGTTGAAAGTAGCAGGTATGATGCTATTGGTCAAAGTAATGTTGACCACCTGTTCAGGTAAAAGAAAAGCCTGATACTAGGCGGCTAATGAAATGTGTGGAAGAAGGTCAAAACCACTTATCAGAATTCATCCCGCTGGTGTAGACGGAAATCGATAAATGAACAAACGCGCTGGATAACAGCCGTCCGTGTCAGCGAGATGACGTCGTCTTTCTTGAAACTGTCTAGTCGAGTCCAGCCACAGGCCTTATCATCCTTCATTTCAGCTGAGTGGAGATGCCTTTAGTGTTTTTTTGCTCGGGGGCCCTGCCACTGCCCGGTATACCTTGCCGTCGAGCGTTTTTGAGCACCGCCACATTCGCCGAGGATGCCTGCAGGACTCCCTTTCATTTCATTCACAGCCCATGCATTGATTCGGGCCTACGCCTGGCTGTACGATTAACACAAGTGCTTCCGCACGCTCCCCAGGTACTGGAACTCTTCAACTCTTTCGATTTTCGCCGTGGCTGTTCAGGATGGGTTCAGCGCACTTTTCAGAGCCCAGGAGCATGGTATTCTTCACCTTAGCCGGAGTCCATTCTTTAGCGAACACATT